TTCAGGAGGTGTAAATTCAGGAGGTGTAAATTCAGGAGGTGTAAATTCAGGAGGTGTAAATTCAGGAAGTGTAAATTCAGGAGGTGTAAATTCAGAAGGTGTAAATTCAGGAAGTGTAAATTCAGGTGTAAATTTAGGAGGTGTAAATTCAAGAGGTGTAAATTCAGCAGGTGTAAATTCAGGAGGTGTAAATTCAGCATGTGTAAATTCAGAAGGTGTAAATTCAGGAGGTTTAAATTCAGCAGGTGTAAATTCGCAGGTGCTGAACGGAGATTCGTACCGTCTCTCCCGGCGGGCCGGTTGGACCAGGAATGCCCGGATATCCATTCTGACCGGGTTCTCCATTGCTTCCTAGAGCTCCCGCTTCGCCCTTCGCTCCCGCAAGGCCTTGCTGTCCTACGGTGCCGGGAAGACCCGGTAAGCCATCCTCCCCGGATTCCCCCTTGTCACCAGGGAATCCTTGCTCACCCGCATCCCCAGGATAGCCGTCATCTCCCTTCTGTCCAGAAAGACCATCTCTCCCAGGCACCCCGGGCTCTCCTTGTGCTCCCTGCAGTCGGTGTAGCAGATCAGTGATATATTTTATTCGAACAGGAATAAAATAGAGGAATATTCCCTCATGCCTTACTCCTGTTTCGATTATGCTTGTATGAAATTCACATTACGCGATGGGAGTTAATGTCGTAAGGTAAATGTGACGTAGGGAGTCATCGCAAATTTCTAATAGCAGCAGAAAATGGGCATAAAATGTACATGATGTTCGCTATATTAATTCAGCACATGCCTAGATGCCTCATAATTATATAATGTGTGAGCTTCCTCGCTGAACATTTATTACAGGTTGCCATTAGTCACGACCAATGACCTTCGCAACCACATTAACAATTAGGGTATCCGAAATTGGTCAGGACTTGGTTCTCTGTTGGCGGGAAGTAGAAGAATAAAACGATGGATATGTACGTTGATGTAACTCGGCATGCGGTAACTCACCAGCACTGGCTGCCCACCAAATCCACCGCCTGAAAGCCCCTACAAGAGCATCAGGAGATGTAGTTAATACACATAGATACGACAGAACAGATGTAAAAACTCATCGCGCGTGTTTTGTGTTGTGTTGTGTTGTGTGTGTGTGTGTGTGTGTGTGTGTGTGTGTGTGTGTGTGTGTGTGCGTGTACGTTCGCGTGTACGTGCGCGTGTACGTGCGCGTGTGTGCATGTATTAGCGTGCGCGCGCTTTGTAGTTCCAATGAGACGTTGGTTCAAGAGCGGTGCTGTAATACTAGTAGTGTGAGAGCTGTAACAGCGAGTATCGCCTACGAGGTACGTAGTTATTTACCGGTAATCCTCGGGGGCCGACGGTGCCTCGTGCTCCGGGATCACCAGCTTCTCCCTAGTAGAACAGCAGAACAATATGGGTAAAATCATGGTATCAATATGGGTATCAAATATATCAAATATGGGTATCAACCCTCCGCCTGAAGATGCCTTCCCACGATATTTCAAGCGGCAAACATAAAATCAGGCAAAAATGAATTATGTTAACATTGCACGTTTGTACTTGCCTATATGTGTGATAGGTAAAATAATTGCTTGATAATATGTTCATTCAAAGCTTTTAGACTACAAAGTGAGTGTCTGGTCGAATGTTTCAAACAGCGTTTACTTTTGCCGCTGTGCGGCGATGTTGTGACGTATTACGTCGTAATCGATCAATGAGCCTTTACACAGAACCGCCATTATACAGACCCGCGGCGAAAAGCGATTTTCGAGTTGTGTTTTCGTTGAGCACAGATAGGCTTGATACATATTTTGACAGTTTTATTTTCAAAGCTAACGTTCAGGTAAAGGGTAGTGAATTATTTACTTACGTTTTTACAGTGGTTTGTTACATAAATGTGCGCGGGAAGGTACCTTTAAATCGGTAACTAACGATGAAAACTAATATATGTTAAAAATTATTACGAAAAATATGTGATATAAAAAATGGCCGTCTACGCCTATGGGCAATTAACGTTGAAAGGATATCCTCGGTAGAGCATTAGCAATGCGTTTCATCGTCATTATTATCGTTATTGTCATCGTCATCGTCATCGTCACAGTCATCGCCAGCGTCAACGTCATCATCGACGTCTTATCGTCACCTTCTCGCCGGGTTCTCCTCGTTTTCCGTCTTTCCCTGTGTAGCCGATATCCCCCTGGTAGAAATAAAACAAAACATAAATTAATAGTAACTAAAAAACAACAAATTTGGTTAACAATTGCTGGCACCAGCCGCTCGGCGCGTCTGTCTCTTGGTAGTCTCCATGCGTCATCTTTTGATCTGCGTAGTGATAGTGCTACTGCCAGCAGCAGCTAGGATGCTATCGCTGTGAACGACTATTGCTTCTAGCAGCCTGTCGGGCCGCCAACAGTCATGCTAGCTTTCATATAATCACGTTGTCTGCCGAAATATCGAGATCGCTCAGACGTCTGTTTTAGTTATACGCATGAACGCACGCACGCACGCACGCACGCACATCCTCACGCCCGCACGCACGCACGCATGCATGCACGCACGCACGCACGCGCACACACACACACACCCGCGCGTGCACGCACACGCGCACGCACGCACGCACACACGCACACACACACACACACACACACGCACACACACACACATTTCCACGGAAGCGCGGGTGTTTGCCTCAAGCCGCAAGCATTAGTCTGTTGTTAATCGTGATGACAGGCGTGACCATAAATTCCATACACACTACACTATACACGCTACTCGTATATATAGCGCTGCGAGATTCTCATCCGCTCGTCCACGAACCTTATCTCCTCGATCGCCTTTCGCCCCCAGAGGTCCAGCGGCGCCCTGCGCGTGAATAGAAGACGAATGTGAAGATCGAGACGCAGGGTATGTGTGTGTGTGTGTGAGTGTGTGTACGTGCGTGCGTGTGTGTATGTGTGTGTGTGTGTGTGTGTGTGT